TCCAGCACCAGGTGTTTACGAGAAGGGGAGGCCTACCAGCACAAGTCATTTACACAACTGAAAGGTTAGTATCTACAAGCCGAAGCTGCACAGTAGCACTCCTCCCTTCAGATGGTGTGACGGAGTGTTGGCACTAAGTTACGGTAACACAGGAGGGTAATCGGTCACCCACGTGTTAGTTGTATACTGATATGGGATAACTAGATGGTGCGGTCCAGACTCAATTTGTTTACAAACAACATCTTACAGCTGCAATACTGCTGAAACAAACATATACTCATGATATAGTCACAATTGTACAATCGACTCTGCTTTTATGAGATATATCTTATGGATGTGGAACGGGTTTTGTCGCTTCTATTGTAATCATTCTAGAGTACACTTATATGGCTATGTAAATTATTGTAAAATAATGCTGTAATTGCATTACATTGTTCCCGACAAGATTCAGAGGAGGTTGATAACATTGCTTTTGGATAATACTTAGGAAATTTTGTATACTATCTGATATACGTATTAATGAGGAAGCTACTATATTTTGATGCCTGGGAGTGTAATCTGGACTACCATAGCAACTCTACTGAGTTTTCATTATGTGCTGCCATTGTAAGTACTTTGAGCTAATTTGTATTGATTTATTAATATGTATAATATTATTATGCAACTGTTATTTGTATCATATCATTTCTTTGTTCTTACTTGGCTTGCGCGGTATTGCGTAAAGATATATGAGTTCTTATTGTTTCGACGTCTACCACAACGCCATCTATGTCGATAGATAAAAACATAACATTTTTGTTAAAGAGTAGGCATCTCGTCCGTATAATTACGTTTAATTTATTTTACCTATAATGTCCTTTGGGCTGTGAATGTGTTAGTCACATTAAGGCTAACACCGTAGATCACCATGGGTTTAACAACAAGCACTGTTACATGTTTGCCAAACGCGGTCACCAAAATCGTAATACAGTTCTATCATACGGGCTGCATCCGTCTTGTTGGCAATATGCATTTGACTTAAGTGTTTGGAATTTGAAGAGTTTGAAAAACGCATTTACCAAGAATTATGACATACTTCATCCCAACCTCATCCATAGATAGACATGTTTATCTGACTCTGGATTCCAAACTAAGCCTGATACATCAAGAGCCGCATAACAACCCATTCATCAACGCTCATTTCACATCGCCTACATAATTGTCACATTAACCTTGTAATTCAATAACTGTATACAGGACCACGCTTCCATCTCAAAGGAGGCTTCAGGTTTCTTCATCCCTGCCTGGTTTCAACCTCTCACGTCGCACCTTCACCACCTCAGATTCAGAAGAAACATTCTTTCCTGCTCAGAGAGTTCCTGTTAATGACAACCTTATAGTGAAAATACATGCACGCTCAAGGACATATTGTACGCCAGCAATTCTGTCATGTTCTATTATAAAAAATGGAACATTTGATACCGAATATGTTATCTATTATAACACTCAGATAACAGTGTGTGCAGCTTCCGCGCTAAGAACATGGTTTTAAGAAAGGAACGTGAACAGAAAGGCGCAAACTCCAATAAATGTCAAACAGTTTGTTTTGTTAATTGAAAACTGAAAGAACTCAGTAACACCCCAATAAACAAGCTGAAGTGCGTGTGAACATCACGACGGTAATGTGGTTACGTCACCCATTTCTTTTGTTTGCATGCATGTACAATTTGCTATGAGACATAATAGATAATAATGAGTGATTCCCATTACAGTGTGTTGGATTGCACAATAAAAAAGCAAAGTATATTTGGTTGGATGTCAGTGAAATGTATTGTTAGGCAGTGTTGTAGTTATATAACATTACTTCTGTAGAGGTTCATAGGAAAATGTTTTCACAGTAATTAGTTGTCAGGAATGTATGAGTATCTTAAGTAAGAAGTGGTGAACAAGTTACGATGTTTAGATTATTTGCCCTATAGCTCTATTCCTGAAGCTAGACTACATATGCTGCAAGGGAATAAATAATATTATCAACGACTTGTAATTATCATAATTGCTATTGTATTTTATATTATATTTGAACGTTCTACATACTCTCTGTTCTGTAAGCAACTGTAATTACTTTGCAATACTGTGTACTGAACTGTAGACTTAGTAAATTGTTAAATACATTTGCTCACCATAACATTTCTTTGTTGGTTTCACCCTGAATCCTTTGTGAAATACTACAGATTTATTGGTTAACTAATTGTTTCAATGTGCAAATCGACACGTAACAGTTTGGACTGCTATTTATTGAATACCAACATCTGTATTTCGCTAGATTGTATGTTCTGCAACCAAGTATTTAGTTAATAAATGAGGACGTGCGTAACCCGAGGTAAATGTAACATTTTCCCGCGCCATAACTTTGTCTGTTGTCCACTTCAAACGCTAACAATCTTTGTTTCCACTCAGGTGGAAATTGGAAATATGTTGCCGATCTTATGTCTCCTTGAAGTGGAATTTAAAACGTAATTGAGATAGTAACTATGAAATGAGTTTTATACGAATTCCACTGACAATCTTGTGCTGAAAGATTCAGAGCCCGCTAAACTCTATTTATAAATAATGACATCATATATATACGGTAAAGACCGTTAAATCGCATACTCACATTTCTCGATATCCCCTAATGATCCATTGGTACTGTCTTCCCTCTGAGTGTCGGACCTTACATTTGTGATTTAGGTTTCAAAGTTCATCAGTTCTTATTTTAGAGATATAATGATAAGAACTTCGGGGCATTAGAATAAATTAAGCTAAAGTATCAAACGCTCGTGTTGTTGTCGGTTTTTTTTGTTCCTGCTATTTACTCATCAAAGCTTCTAAGATTATCTCTTCAGGTGCGGCCAGGTAACATCATCGTCCTGTTTTCAGGAGTACTTCCATTATGTGATCGGCATTACGGCAGGTGCCGAGAACACTCATTGATGTTCACGTTTCGCAATTGTTTGGATTCCATTACTACAGTTCAAGAACACATGGGTGGATGTGCAGTCAGTAAACGTTAATGTACTTCTCTGACGTCATTGAGCTTAAACAATCTTATTGATTACCGTTGCGTTTGGTATCACGTATACTGCCATGGCCATTCTGGTTGGTTTAAAAGAGGAAATCCTTGCCGCCTTTAAACGAAGTCCTTTCAGACATTAATCCGTATTGAGCCGTACCCCCAGTGTTTCCGTAACATCGGCTTAATGTGGAACATACCTTCACATTAGGATTGTCGAATCTCTGGGGTACGTAAGTCCCAAAACATTCAAAGTTTATTTAAACCTACTACTATTTTAATCGTATAATATATGTTCGTTTAATTTATGGCTAGATTATCTAACATTGCTAATAGCAGAGGGGATGGTGTAAATCCAGCTAGGGTCCATGCAGGAAGCAAATGTACTGTAAGTCCCCATGGTCCCTAGTATGGTTATCTACCTTCAGTTGTTGGCACTATATAGCCTGTTTTTACCTTGTATTGTCATCTATAGTTAAACTGTTTTAGATTTAATTACTAGTTTTAAATTCAAATCTGTGATAATCTAGTTATTTTACTGTCCTTCGTTGACAGGTTTTTATAGTTTACCATTACTTACTATGCATAAAATTAATTGTTCTCGTCACAATATGGCTGAAATATTGCCGATGTGACGTTAAATTTTAACTCACTCACTCACTCACTCGAATCTCGGGGTTTACAGATTGTCATCTGTTTGTGTAATACTGTTATCGAGATATCTAACCAACTACATAAGTACAACTTTAAAAATACTTGAAACTGTGTGATGTGGAACCAATATTTTGAATTGATAAATCGTGTTGTAACATGTATCATTTTTGGAACGTTCTATGATTGCTGACTTGTATACGCATGTTTAATTACACGTTCAGAAAGACAAGCATGAATACAACCAAGTGATGAGAATGTGTTGTACATTGTATGTTGTGACAAACATCAGATTAACATTAACAACATGTAGTTGTCATGAAGAAGTTGGTATCCATAAAGAAGTATGATTCAGTTTTGTAGTTATTATTTTGTAATCCATTTCTAATCCGATATTTTTTAACAATTGTCTTAAAAACTAGAGTAGAACAGGGTTTGTTGTAATTAATACGCACGCACGCACGCACGCACGCACACACACACACACAGAGAGAGAGAGAGAGAGAGAGAGAGAGAGAGACACACACACACACACGACTAAGGTCCCAAAACAATTATAGTAAATTTAAACTTACTGCTATTTTTAACTGCAGCATAGATGCTCTTTAAATTTATGGCTAGCCTGTAAAAAATTGCTAACATCTGATGATGTAAACCCAGCTAGGGCCCATGCAGGAAGCAAATGTATTGTAAATCCCCATGGTCCCTAGTATGGTGATCTACCTTCATTTGTTGGCAAGCTATTTCCTGTTTTGTATTGTCATTTATACAGTGAAACCTGTCTAAACCGGCACCCCACGGAACCGAAATAAAATGCCGGTTTAGACAGGGTGCCGGATTAGACAGTGACGATCATTTTCCAACATGGCTGCCATTTACACTCGTCAATCTCTTTATCTCTATAATGCCTTTGATCTTCTGTAATTGTGCAACACATTAAAACAGTGTTGATGGCAGATAATTATTCTTTATTCAGCACTAAACATTGTTAAAATATTTTAGATTTAACTACTAGTTTTAAATTTATATCTGTGTTAATCTACTAGTAGTTGTTTTCACTTCACTTTATTCAGAATTGAAGGCCATGTGGCCAAGAGTACAACAGGTAACACAACATTGTCATGGTGTGTAGAGTTGAAATATAATTCATAATACAATTATTTTAACGTAGGTTTTGCTTCAGGAATATACATGTTCCTTTAAGAACAGTGACACTGTGTATCTTCATAAGGGCTCGGAATTTGACAATTGAAGGTGGGCTGTAGAAATAGGCTGGAATACATTGGGATCTGCATCGGTTATAAAATGGACATATTAGCAACAAGTGATATTCATCTTCAAGCCCGTTTAAAGTACATTTGTTACAAACTAATTCTTTATATGGGACAATTATCTTTGAAAAACGTTGTTTTTGTATATTCAAATTATGTGATTGGCATCGGAATTTGATCAACATTCGCATAAGATCTTTGTTTAATGCGCCACAGGAAATATACAGTTCAGGTTCAAGAAGTGACTTAAATGTACTATAATTTACAAGAAATGATGAGTTTCTTATTTTACTATTCCAGTGTTGTATATTAATATCTATACAGCGTTGTTTGAACTCAAACATGAAGTGATTTACATCGCCACAATCTTGGGCTAACCAGACATAGGAGAAACCTGTAGTAAAAAGAAGCATTCGAATAGTAGTTGTTTTGCTGTCTTTCGTTAAATTTACTTTCAATGACTATAAATCTATAGTTTGATTTAGTCACGAAATATGGCTGAAATATTGGCGATGTGACTTAAAATCTTAACTCTCTCTCCCTCTCACACACACACAAAAACACACACTCACACACACACACTCACACAATTATCGTTATGTATCACTCACAAACGGCTTGCCTCCCACGCCGTGGTATACTATACACTGTTTAACTGAACACATCATTATTATATAGGACAACAAACAGCTGACTACGAAACATAACACCAAGCATGCCATAGTAGTAGTAGTAGTAGTAGTAGTAGTAGTAGTAGTAGTAGTAGTAGTAGTAGCAGTAGTAGTGGTAGTAGTCAAACCTGGCTGAAGCTGTAGTAGGTTTTAGTTTGCCACGCGTCGTTTACCGGATCTAGAAAGCTTGACGTATTGTTACTAGTTTGTGGATGTCATCAAAGTTGAAAGTCATACAACAATCCCATATACCGCGGTATGACTGATTTCCTGTAACAGTAAACATTTAACCTAACTTACTCGATCTTGTCTGCCAAAACACTGGCTCCAGAAAGCACCTATTGTTGGCTTGGTATGCGAAACCATGGGCAAGGGACAAATGTTTCCGTCAGTAATCATCACATCATGATGAAACATTTTAATGCACAGACCTATGTTTTTCTCGTTTTGGTTTCAGCAAAAACACAGAAACAAGATAAGGTATGGGAGGTACGGTCACCTTGGCGCTAAGAACGCTTTGTATAACGGCACCTAGGGAAGCCGTTTGATATTTTGCTAGAACTATACAAATGCTTAATTTGTGCCTTTTGATATGTTGGTGTTTCTAGAAATAAATAGTTTGGGTTTATCTTTGGCAACTAAACGTACTTGCACTCAAATACACGTGGAATTGATTTCCGGAGATATTTGGTTATAAAACTTTGCATATATATCAAATACATGCTTAACCACTAACCAGTGCTTTTCGTGTCACCATGGCAACAAGTTGGGCTAAACCCATGAACAGGTTGCATTCATTACTCCTTACATAAAAGAAGATGGCTTGCAATGTTCATTTCGAGCATATTTTGTTTACCACGATTTCAAAGACCGTCATATGATTCTTGCTATTAAGCTTACATTTCAAGGCCCCAGGTAGGCATTTTACAAACTGACGCATCAGTGACAACAATAGTTATCACCATTTTGCAATTCACCATTTTGGCTTGCACCACAGGTTCCTGTGCTTTTCAGGTGCACAGATGATTAGCCTTTGCATGTATTTATTGCGGATTCCACCGATGGAGCAGGACATACTCACCTTTTCGCAAATATCAACATTATTTTATGGTGTCCATCACGATAAAGAAGCTGAAATTCATAGAATTCTTGTCTTTATGTGTATTACTTCTAAATGCCATTCAAAGACTCTATTTGGTAGTGAGTCACAAACACATGCTATCGAATCTGCTTTTTTGATGTTGTGTCCCATGGCGAGGGATAGTGATGCAACGCTGTTTTGTTGTTTCCTTGTTTTAATCAATTTTATATTAATATTAGTTGACGCAGTTAGAATATATAAACAGCAACATAAAATCATGCTTGTCGTAGAAGGCAACATAATGAATCGGGTAGTCACAATGGGTGACTCGGTTAATATCGTGTTGCCGTAAATCGACGGGGTCACAGTATCGTCTGGACTGTTTACAGACCGAATTACTTGGTATTATTTGCTATTGTCTGTTATTATATGAATCACGATCATATGGGTCCAAAATTAATATATCAGCTAACGTGCAGGAGTGCCAAAAGTGTCCTTTCTGTAATTGGACGTTTACATCAGCTAAAATACTACTTTCTTGATAACTATACATGCTCAAAAAAAGACATGACGCGAAAAGTATGCGCACTAATCCAAATGCAAAAAAAAATCTTGATATGTAACTTCAACTGTATTATGTGTATAACATTTAGCATATACACTTCCAACGTCCTACAAATAAACAAGTTTCAGTCTTGAAACAAATAACACAAATAATACCCTTGAGACAGATGGATGCTAATCCACCTGACATTTTGCCCCATATTATCTGAGCAGACAAGCTATTGGTTGGACCACCATAATGCTGATAAATTAATGTTCACACAAAAATTCAAAATATACAAAATTCAAGTTTAATACAACCATACAAACCATGTCTCCCTTTATTCAGCAACTATTATTTCCAGTTATTTCCTGTAAAATTTTAATTGTGTACACCGTGTCATGATGTCACTTGAGTTCACTAACACACATCATGCCACGTCTGATATAAAAATCTGCTCTAAAAAGGTACATACTTTGCATTATCATTTTCACCTATTAATTTTGTCTTCTCGAGTCATGTAAGAGGACATTTGAAGATAAGGTTAAATATGATACCAACAGATAAAGTAGCTGAAAAACATCCAATTGTTTACGTGATTTCCAAGTGCTCATGTTTCACCCATCACGTACAGTGCTGGACAGTGTCCCTATCAAATGTCAAATAACTGCCAGCTATCATATCAAGTGTACGAATGATCTGGCACTTGTTGTTAACATGTCAACCGAATAACATTATTACGACCCGTGCAAAAATAGAGGTATATGCATTACTCTGCTTGATGTGTCAAGATCCATGTACTTTTACTGAAGCAGTTATCTGCTTTGTGAGGGTCGGAAAGCCTTTTCCTAAGCATATTCTATCATTGACACATCATTCAAGCGATTTGAAAGTTTTGATACATTTTATATCATAGTTTGCTTGTCAGTGTTACATGAATAAACAGCAAAACAATCATTTCCCGAATGATAGAAAATCCCTCTTAAAAGCGGTGTCCATTTTATCAAATGTTTATGAATACTCATCAAACAGTGATAAAAATAGTTGCTCTTGTCCTACTCTACCATTGGCACCCGTCACAAACACGCCCAAAGGTAAATTAGTTGTTACCCTCCAGGAGACACGGTAATATATTGTACATGTGAAAATAGGGTGTTTCATCCGACATCATCTTACTAATGCGTCAAATCGAGAAATTTGGAAAGCTTTGCTAATGCCCTGAACAAGAGTCGTTGCAAGTCCTGTAGGACGAGCATGTTTGATTGTACCACCATGATTGTGAAATGCTGTTAAAATATTAAACGACATAAAGGTACAATATGCATACCTCTAAATGCGAAACATCTTCTGTGGTGTCAACGGTCTCCTTTTTTACACTTCAATGAAACAAACTGGCTACGAAAGGATACCAGAGAACTGAAGCTCATTATTAAGTTGAAAGTCTTGCGCAATTTCTTGATTCCACCAGCGTAAAGAGTACGTCATTGCTGCATCATGTGTACATCAATTAGTTCTTTGAAATATGACATTGGTACAAATGCAGATAATTCGGACGGCATTCCAGATAAAAACAAACTGTGAGCTAAAATACGCATTGAAGAGGGATGGTATATTTTATAACCATACATACAGAAATGGCTGAGCAGTAGGCTCATATTTTCTGGAAACTTGCAGAGGCATAAACTTTCATTGTTGCATACTTGTGAAACTTTAAAGAAGAGAGAGAGTTTTGTTTTGGATGGCCTGCAAATGTATGTGTTGTACCATGTCTACCGGAAACGCGAATATTTCACATATTCGAACCTACATGAAATAAACTTAAAGCATGTGGTGAGTGTTCGATGCTCAGATAGTATATCTCGTCAGTTCTGTGTCATCCTCAATATTGATGTGTCATTTCGAATGACTCTTAATTGACGTTAGCAAATGTTGGAATCTAATGACGTCTTATTGACATTATTGCAGAACATGTCTGGTTATGCCTGGTAATTGTGTGTTCACATTAATAAAAGACTTGCGTTGTTTTCCTTGCATGTGTACATTTGTAAATATCAATATCTTTACTCACCACCGATTCACAGTTAATGTTCATAATGTCACCATTTGTGTCGGTGTATGTCAACAGCCACTGACGCCTTCCCAAAAAGGTGTTCATAATAGTAGGATTGTGTTTCTGACCTGTTACAAATTTCCAAGATCCTTACAGAGGACTCAGTCACATTACCATCTCATCATATCGGGCACCCATTCGCTGCTCAGTGACTGAGGCATATTTCCGATGAGACATCAAATGTTGCCTTGCTTAGTAAGGTCGGAGTGAAGTTCCAGAAACACTCGACCAGTCTGACGAACTCGGGACATCCATCCATTTATGAGCTACCCGTTGTGACCTGGGTGCTGACCGTATTCTACCATATCTGGGTCCCTACAAATCTATTTTCTATATTACTTTTGACAATGATGATCACACTCCACGGGATTCTTGGAGGATCATGTTCCAACGTGCTATTCCGTTTATCAAACAATGGCTTCCCGGAAGTTAATATTCCCTAGCTGGCACAGTCTAAGCATATAGTTCAGCCATCAATCCCCCACCTGATGTTGTAGGACTATAATGAACCCCAAAATGTAGGGATCTGGAATATTGTGGGAACCCGTGAAGATCCGGGGTAGAATAGGTCTTCAGCAACCCATTCTTGTCATAAAAGGCGACTATGCTTGTCGTAAAAGGCGACTAACGGGAGCGGGTGGTCAGGTTCGCCG